TTTTTTGTTTGTTTTTTTTAGTGGGGTTAAGTAGGAAAAGATGGTTTAAAGGGTAAGTTTTGAAATATACAGTTTGGGCGGTTTATTCAAATAACATAACTTGAGGTTTTGGTTCAATATGAGAGGTAAAAATACAGTGACATGAGATTAATAATAATAATATTTTTGTTTTATTTTTAATATTTTACTTTTTTCTTCATTTTATCATGTGGATTTTTTACCTGTAAAAAAATATATTTTATCTCGAGGAATATAGATAGAAAAGCTTGTGCTTGCGCATGCAGGCGTGTATGTGTGTGTGTGTGTGATTATGTAATAGAGTTTCTTTATGCAATAATATTTGATTTCTTTTGACGAACATGATTAACCTAAAAAAAATCGACCCATTTCAGGCCACGATCTGAATAATGGGTTGCCACTAAATGCATCGAGTAGCAGCAACTCTCCTAATTCACTGCCTTCAACCGAGCAACAGAGTGGGCCTAACAGCCACGCAGTTTCGCCTGCAGTTGCCGAGAGGACACCCTCCAAATCCTCAATCACATGCCCCTCATATTTGGTGAACTTCTTCCTGTTGCTTTTCATAAATATATTGCCTTTTGAAGTTTTCATGTAAATTCTTATTTCTAGTATTGTAGTCTTGGTTGTCAGTATTTTTTATTGCTTTGATTTTTTTTTTTCTTTTTCTTTTTCTTTTTTCATTGCATCAATACCATCATCCCACCTTCCATTTTTAGGTCCAAGTTAGGATGGGAGAGTGTTTCCATGTAGTAGTCCATCTTTTGCCCTTTTGCTTTCATCCTTTACTATAACGTATTGTTGTTATCGTAAACTTATCTTTTCTCTAGGGATGTATGTAATTTCTTAGTCTAGGTTATGTAATATATATTGACCATCTCGATGTTTCTGTATACTGTTTTCTAGTCTGTTTATGATTTATTAGCTCTTCATTATGTAACTTGACCTTTCCAGTTCTTGTTGATATTTAACCCACAAGCCGTGGTCTGAGTTTTATGTTTTCGACCGTCTAGATTCGTTTTTCTCATTTCATATCGAACAACTATTGAGAAATGAGAATAGCTGGAGACAAAAAGAGTATGTGCATTTTTTGTTCTGTTTTTTTATTTTTTTCTGATCTTGTAATAATTCAATTTGCAGATGATTTATAAGGATTTTTACTTGTTATGTTTTATTATTCGAGTCATTTATATGTTAGTCCAAAATGACAGCCTGGGTTTTGAATTATTTTGCTACCTTTGGTCTTACTGTTGTTGGTATGGAACTGAGCGTCCATTCCTAGCATATTTTTT